GTTCCTGCTCTTTAAGTTGTTAAGCAGCTTGCTGAAATGTTTGAATCCTGAATGCTTGTTCCTGTTAGAAAGAGAAATTATTAATGGAGTCAGGAGCCTGGGTGCAATTTTTGCTTATTTACAGGAATATAGAAAGTCAGCCTCCTTGAGCAAGGGAAGACTTGAACAATCAGAAAGCCTCTTCCTCCCAGCAGGTGTTATCCTTCCTCCTGCTCTTCTCAGACTGTTTCCAGCAGATGTACCAAAGGAATGGGTTTTGGTGGCAGTGTCAAATGAAGGAAACACCTTCCCTCTCTGCCTCTGCTTCCTTCTTCCAGCTGCATGCCACCATGCTGCAGTGTTCACCCAGATCTTCTGGCAAACCTGTACACCTGTACACATCTTTGCACAGGGAAGAGAGCTGGGGCAATCCCAGACATGTGTATGGTCTGGGAAAGAACTCATTGAAAGCAGCCCTGCGGAGGAAGACTCGGGGACAAAAAAAGTTGGACGTGAGTTAGCAGTGTGCACGTGCAGCCCAGAAGGCCATCTGGGAATGGCTTTCAGAAGTCTTCATAGCATGTTTGTATGTGAGAGGCAAATATCCCTGACATTACCACGGTATGGATAAGGAAGCCTGAAAAGACGGGGCTAGCAGATGTCACAGCACACCATGAGTTTAGAAGCACAGATTCATTCATCTTCAGTTGTGTTTCTAGCAATAGTTCGCAGCATAAGAAGGAAGTTACCTGCTCTTAGGCTTCTTAAACCCCATGATTTGGCACTCACATTCAGGCAGTTTTGCTGCATCAGTTGAAGATTTGAGTGAATTTTTAGCCAGATCAATCTTCAAAGGGCCAGGGTCACCTTGCCTGATGAGCAGCATGTGGTGTGTATTCTACATGCATTTTAAATGAATGATTACTGGTTTGTGAAACTGAATGCAAGACTGAAAAATTCCTAGGTAGAAATGAAGATAATAAGTGCTTAGGAGAATATTTGCATCCCCGTGGTATTATATGGTTCCAGTAAAACAATCAGATCACAAAAAGGCAAGGGGATAAAACACATACTCAGCCAGCATCTTTATTCTCTCAGGTGCAATTGCCACTAATTACTTCTGTCTCCAAATTTAAATATGGAAAATAGCAACCCAACACATCATGCAAAAAGGAATGAAACGTCTCTCCATAACAGCCTTTCTTTTAAAAAAGGCAAATACGTGTTCCCCATTTTCTGCTAAAGAGCATCTGCTGCGCAGCGCCTCTGCCCATGCTGCATACATATGGAAAACTAGTCAAATGCAAATGAATGCCCTCTATGTACTTTTAAAAGTGCATGACAGGTACAATTGGTATAGCCACAATAGAAGGTGCTGATAATAAAAGATACTTTCATCTGCAAGATGTCCGTGTCCCTCGTGACTGCCCATCCTCACTGCTCATCCATTTTATTTTCCACGGTGCAAAAAATCTTGCAAGGGCTGCCTTCCTTCTCAGCACGCCGCTATTCCCATGCAAACATTGCTTTCCTGTGTGTGAGCATTTTGCAATGAAACTTTAACAGAGCCATGCAGTCCCAGACTGTTATTACTAAGCCAACCTTCACAAAGGGCAGTTGTGCCCAGGCTTAGCGGCAGGCTGGCATTATACTGCTACATATAGCAGCTAGGGGAGAGGACATGGTGAGAGGTATGTGTCCTGCCAGCTGGGATGAGAACCAAATACAGGGATATGTCTACTTTTCATATTCTTAACAATCAGGATCTGGTATCACTAGGTCAACTCCAAGTTCTTTAGAAGGAAAAAATTTGTTGCAAGCTCATTTTTCATGTGCAAGCATGACAGGCTTTTGCCTGATAATAGAGTTGGAAGGGTAGCACCTGTCAGACTGAAAGAGAAAAACAGAACCAGCCATTCCATGCTTGAGCCATTACCCAGCAGAAGTGGAGAACTCCTAGCCAAAGCCCTGCTGAACCCAGCTGCAGCCAGAGCTCTGTGAGGTGCTGGGAGGTCTGCAGGGCTGCATACGCTTGTGGGCAGGCTGATGACGGCAACATTTATTCCATTGCAAAGGCAAAAAATGCCAATAAGAACAAGCAGAAGCCATGTGCATAGTTAGAAGCAACTCAAAGCTGACATCTTTTTAAGAAGGGGCTCGGTCTTCATAGAATCGTAGAGTCTCATAATGATCTTTGAGTCCAACTCCTGCCTCTGCACAGGACCACCCAAAAATCAGACCATATGCCTGAGAGTGTTGTCCAGATGCATTTTGAACTCCAACAAGCTTTGCAGCTTTCTTCCTATTAGTTTCTCTTCTTTCAGATCTGTGGTTATTTCAGGTTTCCACAGCAACTCTCAGAAGAGAAGGCATTTTATTTTCTCATATTGTGTTGTTTTAGCACTAAAGGGCTGGAGAGACCACCTAGTACTGGAACAAGAGGAGAGCTTAGAAAAGCCCATCCCGAACAAAATGAACTGTGTCAAGATCCTCCTGTAGGACAAAGGTTTGCAGCGGTTCCTTTCCTGCAAAGCTGCACTGCATATTCCAAGCGGCCCACATCTGCTGAATGTGGGATGTCAAGCCCAATGGGGCTGTGGGAACCCTTTTGTAGTGAGCCAAGGTGAAGTGGGTGGGCCTGTGCCACACACTGCACTGCACTGAACACAGGGAGAGCCTGTGCCCCAGGTTGCTCCCTTTGTCAGGCTTTGTAGGACAGCTCAAGGCCCAGCCTAGCCACAGTGAGGGCAGTCTGGGGACTCTGAGCTCCCCAGCATCTGCTTCAATATCTCAAGTCCTGATTTTACAGCTTCAGGTTTCATGAAAGAAATGGCTGCAGGTGCTGCAGAGTGAGGCTGCAGGAACCAGGTGCATGCGTGCCCCTGGTAGGGCTTCGTTGAGTGCATTTGTTACATCTGATTGTGCTTCAAATGGAAGTAAGACCAATTTTATTACGAAGAAGTTAAGGAAATATGCAATTATGTATCCAAATAGGGAGAGTGGGACATAACTGCACTTATAGGTTTGGAATTGCTTTACCATAAAGACCAAACGCCATTCATTGGTCAATATCTTTAACAGTGTTTTCATCTCTGGCTTCCAACAATTCTTCCAAATGGCTAAACAGCCCCTGCGTTGTTACCATGTGAATTCTTGGACTCATGAACCATGGGTGTCATGGTAGCAGAATTAACTTAAATTTGATATTAGGTCGTGTGAGGAAATGATCTCCAACCTCCCCAAAAATGTTGCACGCAGGAATCATACAATCATAGAATGGCTTAGTTTGGAAGGGGCCTCAAAGTCCACCCAGTTCCAACACTCTGCTGTGAGAGTTGCCACCCATCGTCTCAAGCTGCCCAGTGGCCCATCTAACCTGGGCTTGAACACCTCCAGGGATGGGATACCCACAGCTTCTGTAGGCAGCTGTGCCACTGCCTCACTGCCCTCTGAGTAAATAATTTCCTATTAGCATCTCCCCTAAATCTCCCTTTTTACTTTAAAGCTGTTCCCCCTTGTCCTGTCACTATCAGACCATGTAAAAAGTCAGTCCTATTCCTGTTAATAAACTCCCTTTAGATAATGGAAGGCTGCACTGTGGTCTCCTCAGAGCCATGTAAAAAGTCAGTCCTATTCCTGTTAATAAACTCCCTTTAGATACTGGAAGGCTGCACTGTGGTCTCCTCAGAGCCTTCACTTCCCCAGGCTGTACAAACCCAGCTCTCTCAAACTATCTTAAGAGAAGTGCTTCAGCCCTTTGATCATCTTTGTGGTCCTCCTCTGAAGCCACTTCAACAGCTCTGTCTTTCTTGTGCTACGGGCTGCAGACCTGGACGCAGTACTCCGGATGGAGCTTCACAAAGGCAGAGCAGAGGGGGACAATCTCCTCCCTGCTGGCCACTCCTCTTCTGATGCAGCCCAGGATACCGTTGGCCTTCTGCACTGCAAGCTCACACTGCTGGCTCATATAAGTTCATCGGCCAAAACCCCCAAGTCCCTCTTGGCAGGGCTGCTCTCAATGAATTCTTCTTCCACTCTGTGGAATCTGGGATTGCCACAACCCAGGTGTAATACCTTGCACTTGGCCTTATAAAAACTCATTATGTTCACTTGAGCCCACCTTTCAAGCTTCTTCAGGTCCCTTTGAATGGCATCTCTTGCTGCTGTCGTACCAACTGCACTACTCAGGTTGATGTTGTCCGCAAACTTGCTGAGGGGGCACTCCATCCCATCATCTGTGTCACTGATAAAGATGTTACTGATAAAGATATAGCCTTCCCTTCCCTGGGTCATGGCAGGCCGGGAATTCAAGCTCCGAGCCCCTTTCCCACGGGATGCTCCCAGTGGAGCCCAGAGGGGCACCATCCCGAGCGACACATCCCGCATCACCACATGCTGTCATTGGCTTCGCCGTCATCCACGTACACATCTGCAGCCCCTGGGCATCTTGAGGCTGAGCAAGCCCTGAGCCCTCTGCTTCCTCTCTTTGTCCCTCTTTACCCCAGTGTCGCGCCACTCCCTGCCCCCGGCGGTGCCGCCTTCCCGCTCCCCCCGGCATTGGGGCTGCCTTGGGGCGGTGCTGGGCGCTGACAGCGCGGCGGCGCAGCAGCCGGAGGCAGTGTGCGCTGCGTATTCCCCCGCTTCCTTCCTCAGCGGCCGGGCTGGAAGTTTAAATGATTAAAAAAAAAAAAAAAGAAAAACTTCTAGGGTCACTGGGAGGGGGAAAAATTTCCTCGTCATGTCTGTGGCGTCTGCGAAACCGTCCCAAGAAGGAAGAGGAGGATCCGCGGAGCAGCGGGCGGAGGGGCGGGCGGGGAGGAGGGCCGAGGGGGGCCGGGGTGCGGGGCGCAGCCCCCCCCGACTCGCCGCCCGCCCGCGGGGCTGAGCCCTCCCGCAGGAGGAGGGGAGAGGGGGGAGCAGAAGGGGCCGGGCCCGGCCGCCCCGCTCCCCCGCCCCGGGGGGTGCGCCGGGTGGCACCCCCCGTCCTCCTCCTCCTCCTCCTCCTCCTTTTCCTCCTCCTCCCCTTAACTCGGCGGCGGCGGGCGGGGCGCTTCGCTTCGCCCTCCGCCGGCGGCGGGATGGCCTCGGCCGTGTTCGAAGGCACTTCGCTGGTGAACATGTACGTGCGGGGCTGCTGGGTGAACGGCATCCGGCGACTCATCATCAGCCGGCGGGGCGACGAAGAGGAGTTCTACGAGATCCGCACCGAGTGGTCGGACCGCAACATCCTCTACCTGCACCGCAGCTACTCCGACCTGGGCCGCCTCTTCAAGCGCCTCCTCGACTCCTTCCCCGAAGACCGGCCCGAGCTCTCCCGCTCCCCTTTGCTCCAAGGTCCGGGCACGGCTTCGCCTCTTCCCCGCTGCCTTCCCCGGGCGGGGCGGGCGGGCGTCCCCGGGGCGGGCAGGGGGCGAGCGGCGGGACGGGTCGGGACGGGGCGCGACAGGGAGGCAGCCTTTCGCGGTCGGAAACTCCTCCCGGGCCGTTGGTTCGCACTGCGCCGTTTTTGTTATTATTATGGATTCTGCGGGCGTTAGGTCCCTGCCCCTCTGTGCCTCCGGGGAGGGCCGGTGGGGCTGCGGGAGAAGGGCTGCGGCGGACAGCCCCCGCGTGTCGGCGTGTTGTTTGCCACGGGGACTGGGGGGGGGGAAAAAAAGAAAGAAAAAAGACGCTGCGTCGCTTGGCAGTGGTCGGAGCGAGTGTGGAGCGAGCGCAATTCCTCGCATAACTTTCTCCGAAGCCAGGATTGCAGAGCAGTCAGCGCCGCGCTCCTTCTGCCTTTTGGTTTCCGAAGGAGGTGACGCAGCCCGGGGGTGCGAACCACGCTCGGGAGGGTTGGGGCCGCTCTCGGGCCGCTTTTAATGCGTTTGACGTTTGGGGGATATTTTCGATGACAGCGCTGCGCTTTGCTCTGAATTATATCAAGCGTGTCGGGCGGCACGGAGCATCTATCTCGTAGATGGATGTGCGCTTTTCCAGTCTCCCCAGCTGTCCGGGTAGTTCGGCTGAACGGGAGCGGGGAGAAGCCGGTATCCGATGTGCGCTTTCTTCGGGGAGAAGCTGGAGAAGCCTTCCCCCGAGTCTCGTCTCTCGCCATCCGGGGGCTGCGGCACCCCGCGCACCGGGGATTGAATGGGGCAAAGCGGACCCTGCTCCGTGCCGGGTCCCGGCGCATCTCGAGGCGGCGGCATCGCCCCGGCGGCGCGGCGGTGCCGGCTGCCCTCTGCAGGCGGCCGGGGTTGGGGGCGGCGGAGCGGGGTTCAGTCCCCGCTCGTCCCCTGCCGAGGCGGCCCGCAGCCCTTCTCGCCTCTCTTAAGTGCCTCCAAACTTTGCTTTTGCAAATTATTTTGCAAGAGGAAGCATTTTCGATTCTTCCCTAAGACTCGGAACCGGCAACCTTCACCCATCTTTCCCTAGGGAGCAGACCCCTGTAGAATCTACAGTGAGCGAAGCATCAGTCCAGGATTTGAAAAATGGGAAGCTAATAGAAGCAGATGGTAATCTATTCAGCCTGGAGAGGAGGTGGGGGTTCACTCTGCAGCAGAGACAGTGTACAGTCAGGAGTGGCTTCTCAGCAGTCGCCACATGCTTCACAATTTCAATAATACTCCTTGAAATGAAGCTGCTCCTGTGCTGAAGAAAATGACTTTGCTGAGTGTGCTTGTGCTCTAAAGTGACTGCCCAAAGCATGTGTAAGTTCATGATGCTGGGACACAGAATCATGGAACTGTAGAATCATTAAGGTTGGAAAAGGCCTCTAAGATCATCCAATCCAACTGTCCATGTGCCACCATTATCACCCACTGACCCATGTCCCAAAGTACTGCATCTACTCTTTCCTTCCAGGGATGATGACTCTACCACCTCCCTGAGCAGCCCATTCCAGTGCCTCACCACTCTTTCTGAGGAGAATTCTTAATACTGAACCTGAATAAGAGTCCCGTTTGGCTAAGTGATGCTGATGCCAGCGATACCTGGCTGTGAGCGCACACTGTATGATGCATAGGTGGCCCTTAGAAAAACCTCTGGCGTATGCATGGGTTCTTCATGTTCTGTTTGAAGGCAGAGGTCCAAAGCTCAGTATATTTAACTCAGCAAAAACACCTGGTGAAAGCACAGTCTTGTGCCTGAGCACTCAGTCATATACATCTGTGTGTATATTTTCATATATACATCTTATGCATACAGACATCATGTATATGCATAAGAAATGTGCTTATGTGTGTGTTTATCTTTATGAAGGAATCTGAATATTAGCTGTGCCTTTTATCTGGAGGAAGTGGTAAAATGTTGCAAACCAAACTTGCATTGCATTGAAGGAGTCCAATACTCCTACAGATTTGCTTAAGGAGCATTAAAAGAGCCAGGATTATCCTACGGCTGGGTGAGGCCACAGTATGCTGTGTGTGAGGGATATGAGGAGTGCAAGGCTGAGCTTTTTCACCTTTCTAACTTCTTTACAAAGAAAGGTGATTATTTTTTAAATGTCAGCAGTATCAGCAGGAGCCGGTTATTACCATTGTGCAGTCACTCCTGTTCCTTGGATGTGTGGGTGTTTGCAGAGGATAGGATGGGAGGTATGACATTCTGCACCTGCTGTTGCCTTATCCATCCTTTGGTAGGAGGGAGGAGGAGGCCCTAGGGGTTGTGACACACCTTTAAGAATTGACAACACCATGTGGCAAAGTGCACTCCATGCATGCATCTGGAGTGCGTTGTGATGTGGAGGGCCAACTTGAGGCATCCTACTGGGGAGCCAGTAAACAGGGCCTGGTAAGTGCCTACCTGCAGTGTGACTGAGTATGATTCACTGCTGGTATCTGATTTGTGTCTGAAATGTGCCCTTCCCTTCCTCCAGGCAAGTGCAGGAAAGAAGATCACAGAAAAGCATGGGCTGGTTCACTCTTAATGCCACTGGTCTGTTTCTGTATGCAGAGTGAACTGCTTTTGTATTTAAATTTCTTTATGAGAAAGACAGCCTTGTGGACCTGGAAGCTGAGTCAAAATCAGTGATTTTGCAGTAGTTACAATAGACCCAATAGATGCTGGAAGTGAAGTATTAATCTGGGAAAGAACTCTTTTTTTCTAACCTTCTGTTTTCTCTAAATATTACTTCTGGGGATTCTTGGAGAAGATACATCTTAAGGCCTGATGGAGCTTCAGTGCAGTCATGCATCTGGCCCCAACCTCAGTGCAGGCATAGAATACAGAATTACAGAATCACAGAATATCCCAAGTTGGAAAGGACCCATAAGGATCATCGAGTCCAACTCCTGACAGCACCAGGCCTTTCGGTTCTCTTCCCTTTCAGGCTTCCCTCGCCTGATTATTGCCACCAGGGTTTACCTGTGGCTCCCCAGAGCTTTTCTCTTATCATCTGCCATGCTGGCGCGCAACCTTTGTCCAACCATAAAAGCTGTCCAGCCGCAGAGGAGATTTCCAATGGAAGCTTTGTGTGCAGCATGCTCATAGCACAGAGCAACTCTCCCCTCTCCTGCAGCAGCCTCTGGGCAGCCCTTCCTGGTGGCCGATGCCGAGCTCCGTCTCTTTCCTGCATCACCAGGAAGACATGTGCCAGGAAGTGCTTGGGAAATCCTGCAGGGCTGCAGCCTAAAGGCCTTGTGCAGAGCAGAGTTCCTGAAGAGCCGTCTGGGAACGTTATGTTTTCCTGCACATTTTGCTACGAACGCTGTATTCATAGCTTACAGTTTTCTATATGCTGCATTACACTGTTGTTGTTTACAGGGCCATCTGGGAGCATGATTTATGCAGAGAGGGAACTCCACAGAAGCAGCATAGTGCTTTCCACAGACAGCAGCTGTTTGGGTGCTGTGACAATGCAGATAAATACACTGCATCTATTGTGCTCTTCCCATTGTTGACATTGTCAACAGTTCATTAGTGGGGCTCGCTCAGAGCGTCTGTCTGGCCGACAAAGGATGCTGCTCTCGGTTATCAGACTCTAGCAGTGCTGTAAGACTGAAATTGAGTTTGGGGCTTCTGGGGTTGGTTTTTTTATTAGCTGAATTTCATGGTTCATCAGTAATGCTGGAGATAAATGAAGCTTGCCATGTTGTTATAAAGCTGGGCACAAGTTGCCTTTTTGTGGTGGACTGAGGCAGTATGTGTATGGGGGGATTTCGGTGGGGAGGAATGGAAATGAGGTTGTTTTCTGATGACAGGTCTCACCTGATAAGAAACCAGCACTGAAAGTGGCTGTAGGAGCTTGCATTTTTCATTAGGCATTGACTGCTTGGCTCACTTTTATCTTGTGCTTCCTTGACATCTCGTTTCTTGTGGCTCATCAGGCATCAAGACGGGAGCTCAGTGGGGAAGGGCTATCTGCTGAGGTCTGTCACTGGGAGGTGCCGTTTCCCCATCTCTCAATCCTGCATGAAAAGCCTAGCAGCTGGATGTCTGGGCTGCTTAGCTTTAACTGAGAAGTGTGCCAGGGCCCTCAGATGGCCACGGCCACAGTCCCTGTTCTGGGTGATGTCACTGGGACAGTTTGAGCTTACTTTGTGCCATCCGTGTTTTTACATCTGCTCTGTGTGATCTGTCAAGGAAGCAGTGGCTTGTGCTAGAGCTAAGAGCATTCAAGATTGTGAAAACTCTCTGTCTTTCTGTTAGACACAGATTGATTTCAATATCTTCAAAGTCCAAACATCTATCCTCCTGCATCTCTCTTTTCAACTCTATCGTACCTTTTTCTCTGCTCCCCAAGCATTGTCACCAAAGTGTACCATGTCAGTGATACTGCATGAATAGCACACCCTTTGTAACAGCTTCAGGGACTGCAGTGGCTTGTCATATGCATGAGGTGGATGGATTTTCTTGTGTGGGAAGGGGCAAATGCATCTTCCCCAAGAGATGAGAGCAGTAAAATTAAGGAAGAGGCATCAGCAAGGAGCTACAAGTGCTGCCTGACTAAAACCACAGACACAGGTCTGGGATTTTATTCCATGTGATGAGAATCAGATGCCCTAGAAGACAGTATAAATCACCTATAGAGAAGAAAAAAGTGGTATCCTGGTCTTTTGTAATTGGAGCTCCGGTATCCCTCATTGCCTCTAATTATCTGCCCTTCTCTGGATCTTAGCACATCTTTGGACTGAATGGACTCCTGTGGAGTTATTTCTGCAGAATTATTGAAGAAATGTTGTGTGAAGCAATCTTTCCCATCTTGTTTTTTTTTGGTTTTTTTTTCTGGTGGA